TATGTATTTCAGCATGAAAAGACTCATGCAAAGCGGGTATAGGAATTTTTTCCATTACATAAGTCATTCAGCACCATGGACAGCGGTCTGCACACTTGCCACTTGAAGTGTGTTTAGAATGAAACCGCCGATCAGCACATCTAGTCATTTTGAAAGAATTACATTTAGTTACTAATTCACCTTTGTTTATTTCTTCTCTACATGTCAGCAATGCAAGCATTTTAAAATCACGTTTGGAAAAGAAGTTGAAACATTTTTTCTCTGCGTGTCATTGATGCATTGCGTCTCACCAGGTGATGCAATGATCATCCATTCTGCCCCGCAGCTCGCTGCCATCGGTTACCAGTTTGTTTACGTTTGAATACGTGAATGTTCCGATTTTTGAAATGAAGACTGACTTACAAATATATGCATTAGAAAATCATTAATGTGCCTGAAATAATACAAAGATCGTGTTTTGTTTTTAGAATGATCATATCCACAGTCCTGAAATATAATATTTTATATTGTGCAACATATGAGCACAAACTATCATCATACATGATTTTTTTAAATTCATTTTTGCTCTGTGATAACTTTAAGCAGGATTTATATTTAATATTTGAGGCGTCAAATATTCAACAACTTTATTCATCCCAAAATAAATGTGTTGTGCTCCAAAATGCTCTTATACACAGAAAAATGATTATATAGATAATATAAATAAAATGGAATAAAAAAAGCAAAATGTTACCAGTGAGAAGAGTATTTCAGTCTACTGAAGGTCATTAGTTCGGCTGTGTTTTAGCATAATTAATCGAAATTTTTGAAAAGTTGTTAGTTATTAAGTCAAGTTAATTTTTAAGTTAACTTGAATAAGTATGAATACCACAATATAGAAAAACTATTACAAGTAAAAGTCCTGCATTTAAAATCGTACATACGTGCTGGTGTAGAAGTAAGTATTATTTGTAAATTTCTTAAAGTATCAAAAGTACTCGTTTGTACTGAAGCATCATTTCACTGCTGCAGGTGGAGCTACTTTCATAAAATAACCACATTTTATTCAACTATCTGCTCATATGATGATACAATATTACAGATTCATTTTTTTAATTTTAGACAGTAATCTCCCCCAACAATCCTCTCCCTGCTCATAAAAACTAAATGATGGTAAATAAATAATAATAATAGCAATAATTATTTAATGAAATACATAGAAATAGAAAACAGAATATTGTACAAAATTGCACTGAAGGAAAATAAATTTAAAAAACAAGGTGGTGGAGCTTTTAACTGTTGTATATTTCTAGTTTGTTGTTTTATATGATCATTTTAACTTGTGTGAAGTGTCTTTGAGTATCATGAAATATCTACGAAAATGTAGTTGTGTTTTTTTTAGCATCTATTTCAACATTTATTGTCAAACAATAAGCTGTTTTACTTCCGTCCTCCTGAAACAGTCGTCCCGTAGCTCACAGCTCCACCTTTGCTTTTCATTCCTTCTGTTTAATGTAATAGGACAGATCATTATTACAACACATTGGAACATGGGAGTGCATGAGTGTGTGTGTGCCAAGGACTGTATATAAGAAGAGGACTTAGTCACCGTGAGGTCACCCATTGGTTGGTGGACTACAGTTTTAAAGCCTAGAGTTCGGCATTTTAGCTGCCGCCATCTTGATTTTTTTGGGCCACCTTGGTTTTTCAGCTGAGTGCGTCTTTGCCACTCAGCCACTACTCTGAAGCCAGAGACAGTTATTCTGTGCCTTTTTATTGGGCATCAACCTGACGTTCATACCAGGCGGCAACCTGAAGCTAACGCGGAAGTGTCTAAAAACTTGCATTCTCTCTAATGTCCATCAGGGGGCGACTCCTCTGGTTGTATAGAAGTCTATGAGAAAATGACTCTAGGGACGACCATTAGGAGCCCGAGGATTGTTTGCTCTTATGCGATGGTCATTCCAGGCAGTTACAACTTCATCAAGCTCCTCCTTTATAATATCTCTCATAGTTAGGGGAGAGCAGGGATGGTTGCAACAGCACCACTTTCACCAAGAAGGGATGACCTAAGACTCGTGATCAATTGAATGTATGGCTTCTTCTTTCCTGACTTTGCATATGAAATTTCTTATCTATGTGAAGAAGTATGCAGATTTTACAGCCACAACACTGCTTTTCAGGTAAGACACAGAGATTTGTTGGACGTGACATGAAGTCTATATTTTGATTAGTACTGATACTGTTGAAGTTAGAATTGTTAAAAAGATTACAGAATAAGATGTCACACTTTTCATTTATGCTTATTTCAAACCGCCATGCTACAGCTAGCTATACATGGCTGACAAGGGTGGGGATGGATGTAACTCTCTTTTAATATAATTAACCCTAAATTGACAACTACACACACACACACATTTTTTGTTCACTACATAGCTGAAATATTGCTATTTGTAGTAGACAAATAAGGGTACTTCATGTCAAAATGTGAGAGCTCTAATAGAAGAATTCGGCGAGTTACATGTGCTTGGACAAGAAGTGTTACAATCGCACTGGTCTCCCCTACATCTGTGTTGATACTGTATCAATAGGTTTTTAGGATACTGTACCTGTATGGTATTTTGGAAGCAAAACTGGATCAGTGATTTGTCAATGAAACTGTCAACAAAATAGCCATCTGCTTTCAGCTGGTCGAAATGGTCCATCCAAAACTGGGCGCACTTCTCAAGATGCACCACCATCGTTCAATCCTTTGATCTCCAGTACTTGGACCTAAAGTGACACACTCAGGACCCTTCTCATCCTCACTGGTGTGCAGAAACCTTTGCATTATTGCAAGGTGGGTATTCTCCGTACCGTGATCTAACCGGATTTTTTGCGGACATCCATTGTTTTCTTTCACAGCATCTATGAAGTAACCTGCGATAATACGAGGGTCATTGTTGGTTTTCTATGCCTCTAGCCATATCATTTTTCTCCAGAAGCCATCTATGCAACCACTGATATTCCATAAGGCTTTAATTTGTCGTAGTCATCTATATTCCATAGCTACATAGTTTGGCCCACGGCTGACATACATACGGTGTCTTAAACGGTTGCGGGCCACAGATCTACCCCATTCCCGTCCATCAGTCGCATCAATTGACGCACAGCTTCTCTGTCGGTAATCCCGGCCATCCAACATTTCTGGTGCATCCATCTGTAGCCGTGCTGTTTGCCAGACGTTTGTAGCTGTTGGTGAATGAAGGATGCTACCTCAGCATCATCTGTCTTATTTTAGCTTTCTCTCTAGCGTCTGGAGGCTTAGTTTGATATCATGTGATTCCTCCAAAACGACTTTCACGAAATTTCACGATTTGTGAATCCACGTCTCAAGTAGTCTTCAATTATGGTATCCATTTTGATCTGCTAAGCTTTGTCTCATCCACTTGCTTCTGTTGCTTTGGCGCATGTGAGGAAACAACACATAGGCCTATAAAACTTTTCTCAATATTATGAGATGCTAAGTCATAAAAGTAAGTCAAAATTTTGAGATAGTATCTCATTATTATGAGATGCTAAGTCGAAATGTTGAGATTGTATCTCATTATAATGACTTACAGGATCTTTATTTTTCATTACAGTGGCGGAAATGGGCTTCCATAGTATACAGGGCTCCTGTCTGTCCTCAGAGTTTAAAAAGAAGTCAGCAGGCGAAAGAGCCTTTTTTTCTATCCTTCAAAATAAAAGCCCAATAGAGTGACTGTATCCCAACAGAAAAAAACCCAAACTCTCACTGTATGTTAATAGGAAACTAAGATTGGATCTAGTTTTTCAAAATAAAGGTGCATAAAGTTCAATTTGTCAGGGTTTGGACCCCAGCTAATGTTTTATCCTTATTCCAACAAAAACAGTTATTTGCCTTTTTAAAAGAAGTTAAATTGCTCTGAAACCCCAATTGAACTTCTTTCATTGCTAACTCTCTTTTCTTCCATTATTTTACATCCTTCATCCCTCTCCCACTTTTTCAACTCTTCATACTGCTTCAGCTGCTTTTTCATGGATTTTCAGCTCTTATCTACGGATTCATTGTACTTTCATACATGAGGTGTTTTATACAACTTTTAAATCCAGCAACACAGTTCATCATCAGCTTTTCAACAAACCTTGAAATATTTCACATCTTTCATACATTATTGATATAAATCAACTTGTAAAGACAATAAATACAGCGTCAGCTTTTTAACATACAGCATTCACACATCAATTTAATCAGAAATGAACTTTTCTAGTTATTATTAGAATAAAATTGACTTAACTCACAAATGAAATTGCTATTTAGCTTGCTTTATGTTAAGTGTAGGATCCAGTGTTTTTAGAGCTTGACCCATATTAGGGAATTAAGTCAGGATACCTCGACCTCTACTCTTCTTCTTGTTACAGAGATTGCAGATAAGAGAAATTAAAAATGATTGTATTATTATTTGTATTCTCTGGCAGACTTTTGTTAGCAGGTTTACAAGTAGAAAAGTTAAGTTGTTCGGTTAGGACCTGGCTTGTGTCAACTCGATCCTAAACATTCAATAATCCGGAAGTGTAGTCAAATGAAAAATGCCGTCATCATACATGAGAAGAGGCCGCCTGTGATAGACCCAGCTGGAGTATGAGAAGCTGAACCAGGGCAGAGAAAATGACATCTCGCTGCAACATGTCACTGTGGATACACGAGCCGGGGGCAGTGTAATGTGTGTGCAGAGCAGACGCTGTAGCCTGCTAACATTAGCAGCTCATATTGGTAGTGTTGGTTAAAAGAGCAGAGCCGGGGAATAATGGGAACCAGAGGTGGAGGTGCAGGCAACACTGGAGCCGCTGTGTAGCAAAACTAAGATGTGCTGTGAATGTGACAACGAAGAAAATACAAGGGTGGCTCCAAGTGTTAGCCAGCTAGCCGGTTAGCGCTGCAGCTTGACATGAGCCGTTTCCCTTACACGGTGCAAGTCGAACCAACTCTTTCAGAACGGAATGTCAGAGGTGAGTGACACTTGTTTCAACGGCTTCGGTCAGAGTGGCTCATGAATGAAAAAACAACCTTTACTGTTGTTGCTCGGCGTTAGCCAGCTAGCTAGCTAACTAACAGCATGTCAGGTTAGCTTGCACTTAAGACACCCTTCGTGCCCCGATGCTGAAAAACTACAGCCGACACGACGAGACACCGGCTGAGCCCCTTCTGCACTAACAACCTGTGCTCTGTGTTTGACTAGAGTCTGGTGTCAGCTAGCTTATTGGCTTCAGATAAGAACGTGAAGCGTAACAGCTGGGTTTCATCTCGACATACACCGCTGCTGACTGCTCTTTGCAATGTGGACCCCTTGCACCAGTTGTTTAGTGTTAGCCATCTAAGAGGCCTCGCTTGCCGGTGCTCATTGCCTTTCCACAGTGAAGTTATGCGAACAGTTAGCCGGATGGTACACTGTCTGGAGCATCAGTCTGCGGCAGGCTCCACTGTGTGGTCCTACCAGTCAGTTCCACGTTGTGTGACGGAAGGAGGAGGGGGTTAAAGAAGAATAGAGTTTCAGCTGGTACACTTTGTGAGAAGAGCAACAGTTCCCTCCCTGTTGACAGTCTGTAGAGCTGTACTTACTGCAGTAGAAAGGGAGGCATGACAGATCTGTAGGCTGCTCCGAGTTCAGGTAACGTCTGGTTACTTTTCCACTTTCTAGTGGTTAGTGTGGACTTCACTTCTTGTTTGGCTCCTAATCCCTTTAGACATCTGACCTTGTTATGCTGCTTCTCTCCCCTGACTCTTTTCCTTCCCCTCATATTAGTACTTTTCTCAGTGTTGACTTTGTCTGATTTACAGCTTTGTTTTCCGTGTGTTTTAAGGTAAAACAGATTCAAAGTGTTCATGCTGCTACTTTCTTTGTCAACATGATCCCTTTAGTCTGTTGAGTCGATCAACTATTTCATAACACAGTAGTGAAATATTCTGTCATTAGTAGGGATGCATGAAAGCGATATCTAGCCGATCCTGACTCAAACCGCTGGATCGGTGACAAACAGGCTGATTTATTTGTTCAAGTCTGTTTATTTATTATTCCACTTATTAGACCACTTTGTTGCTGCACTAAAAAGGTTTGCTCTTCAATTGTAATTCCTGTTAATTAAAAAAAACATTATGAAGTTGCTGGTGTGCAGGCATTATTTTAATTATAAATAACAACTCAATAAATGTTTCTCTACATATTTATTTATACCAGCGTGGTGTTGCCTTACACATAAAAGAATGACCCCAGTGACGTCATCACACTGAGGCATACAGCTTAGTAATTTAACTCTGGTGTCGGTATTAAACAAGCCCAGGTATGGGTATCGGGACTGAAAAAGTGGGATCAGTGCATCCCTACTCATAGTTACACCAAACTAAGACTAATGCTGTCTAATAGAAAAGCATTGCAATAGACCTGGGTCTCATGACCGTTCAGTTCTTCTCAAGGTGATGGTAATTTGGAGATAAACTGGTCTGGTATGCTAATAGCTTGCAGAGCATTAAAGCACAGCCAAAGATTCATTACTGATCAAAGTGTTTGTTCCTTGTAGTCAAACATCCAGCTTACAAGATTATTGCACGCCTATATTTATCAGCACTAATTGGTTTAGGCTTTCTAATGCTGAGGAGCTCCTGTGGAGCAGTCAGTCTTCTTCATCACTCACTCCTCACTCACTCCGTGTATAGCAAAACAGTAACCCTTTACTGTCACATACACTGTTGACACTCTTGTTGTAGTTGGACTGGAGAGCTCTGTGTTTGTACTGCGGCCTGTTTGTTCATGGGAAGTTGGACTGTGAACTGAAAACCTCAGGTATAGTCAGACACTAAATAGAGCGCTAATTTAAAGGTCAGAACAGCTAAATTAGTCAGTAGTCATTAATCACCCATATGACCCAAAAGTACTAATTGTTTCAGCACTCGATTTACTTATTTAACTTGACCTTTGGTTTACTGGTTATATTTTATTTAGATATCTGAGAGTTTTTGTGCCCCAGTGGTCCAAATGCTGTTTGAGTCTACCCCGAAAAGAAGGCTGGGTACTAACCTGTATAACTACAAACCTGGGCTCTTCAAGGCTTCAGTACAGAAATATAGTTTACTAAGTCTTTTACAACCATGTCTGTAAATACCCTATTTGGTCATCTGGATTCTGCGTACTGCTTAATTATTGTTTTTAGATGTTTGTTAACAGCATTTAAAAGCATTTCTTTGTGACTTGAACTACGCTCATGGCTTGAGTCAACATTTTCATCCTTGTCCTTGGTAGGCAGGAAAGAATCGCAGTAAGCTCCCATGCTTGCCTTCAGTGGAGAACAGTGAATCATCATGATCACTAACACAATCTGAACTCTTGTCATTTTCTAAGGGGAAAAAATGCAAATGGTATTCCCTTTTTACAAGAATCCTCATGATCAGCACCAAGCTCTCTGGGACGTTGGATGTCTTTGTTCACACATTGTTTAGTGAAAGACTGAGCATCATATGAGATGAGCAGGACATCCTGTTTGCCCTACTGAGCATGTCAGATAAAGTGCCTAGTCAGCATACTGAGCTTCCAAAAATACCACGCGTATCCCTTCTGAAGAGGAATGGAATACTGCTGGGTCTGTCCATCTGATAAAGTAGATGTGCTCTCAGCAATAGAAACATTCTAACTTGATTCTGTTCAAACCTGACAGCACCATAAACAGGAAGAGCTGCAATGCCCATTTGATCTTAAACATCCACACATTGAAGGGTTTTTTGTATAATGTATGACATTATTGCAACATGCTATTACACTGTCATATGTGAGAGTATTGGTTGAAATGTACTGGCACTAGTTCAGATATGATGCCTGTGAATAACAAATAGTCAAAGATTGTCAAACTTTTGATCTAACACTATCTGATCAAAAAGAAAAGTAAACTGACAACACATGCAATGCCAACTTTTGATACAGGACTGTTTTGATAATTGGTGCTATGGACAGCTGAACACGTTTAGGTTTGTATTGTGGTATCTCTGAACCGATCTATTTAGCCTCTGGGGGCTAGGAACAATATCGCTCTACTTTCTGGTCTCTTTTGATTGGTCTGCACATCCTACACAATACATAAGAACGTAGTGATACTGTGGGCGCCTTTGCTGACAGTGTGACTGATTTCATTCACGTGCACAGAATTTTACACAATTGTACAGTGCATGTCTGAAAAGTGCTTTTCTTTTTGCTTAATAATCAAATGGGCTGCATTCATTCTGCTGATCATCTGTTCTGCTGTTCTGTTTTCAGGATGATGGCTGAAGGGTAATATCCAAGAAGTCACATTCCCTCAACCCAAAGTGACCCCACTTCCCCCTTTTTTACTTTCATCTGCACTTCTGCAACCTCCCCTTGCCTGACTCTGCGTGTCCTATCTCAGCCCATTTCCCTTTTCCAAAAGGGGTTTTAATGGGATGCATGCATTCCACAGTAGGATCATGTGAATTTCTAATAAATTGGACAATTCTCCTCCTGGCAGCCTTCCGACCAAAAAACAAATCAAACGCTCAAATTTGAAAAAATTACAATGTGATCGTATATCAACTTCTGGCCCATCTGAGATCGCCACCTCAGTCCGTAGGAGTCGACTCTGGTTCCATCACTTGTTCCCTACCTGCAGCCTTTTCCACATCCCCATCCCTTTTTTTGTGTCATTGGGCCATGGTTCGCAAGAAAGGTTCTCTTATCCTATGCAGTGCTTTCCTGTTTGTTGCCTGGAATGCTTTGCTTCTACTTTATCTTTGGGGTCGTCCTCCCATTGGCCGCCTCGGAGAAGGTGTTGGAGCCGAACCAGGAGGAAAGGAAGAGTGGGCCGTGGGAAGAGGGAAAGGAGGCCGGGTCAACCTGGCCGCGGAGGTGATCCGGCTGGCAGAGGAGGTCGAAATTCAGCTAGAGACCCAGAAAGAGCTACTGAAGCAGATTGAAAGTCACCGGGCTGTGTGGGCTCGGCAGAAAGACGTTGGGAAAAGAGAAACTGAGGATGCAAAAGAAGTCAAACAAGAGGTTGTCCACCAGCCACTAAAGCTTCCACTCCCTCCAAAAGATAGTGTGGATGATAGGGACCAAACTCAAGAAAAAAATACACAGAAGCCTGTTCATACAGTAGCTTCAGACTCTAAGTTAGACCAGCATCAGGCCATTGACATAAAAGAAGACATTGCTGAGAGCAATAAATTGGCGACTTCCGTTGCCAGCCCAGAAGTGGTCATTCCCGTTCTAGTCATTGCTTGTGACAGAGTGACGGTAAAACGGAGCCTCGACAGACTGATACAGTACCGCCCTTCTCCAGCACTATATCCAATCATTGTCAGCCAGGACTGCGGCCATGCCGAGACAGCTCGAGTGATTGGCTCATATGGAGATCAAGTGACTCACATTAGCCAACCGGAGCTGTCGGACATCAGAGTTCGACCAGAGCACAGGAAGTTCCAGGGCTACTACAAAATTGCCCGACATTACCACTGGGCACTCAACCAGGTGTTCAACACGTTCTCCCAGTCTACTGTGATCATAGTGGAGGATGACCTGGAGGTGAGTGCTCTCAGACCTTACCACACATTACAATCGGCAATGTCATTCTTGATAGCTCGATTTAAAAAAAATATTATAATAATTTTGCTTTTATTGGATAGTTTGACGGTAAAGACTCACAGGAGAGGTCCGTAGAGCGTGTCCAGTGGGTGATGTAGGCATCGGTAAACCATGCCATGCTGCGACATGTTGACAGTGGAGTTTCATTGCCAACCATCCTTAAGTGTAGCACAACAAAGGAAGGAAGAGAAAGTTTAAAGAAAGAGGCAGATGCTAAGAAGCAACAACAAGCACTTAGAAGTATTGGTGCACATCAAAAGACAGACAAAAAAGGTTTGGGCTTGTGAGGGACCAGGGTACGCATAAAGCTGGGAGAGCAGGTAAAGTGGAAAGAATGTGGATTTTATTCACCCAAAGTATGTACATAATTAGGATGGGTAACAAAATCAAGCAAAAGTGACAAATCAGAATAACTGTATAACCTTAACATAATTGCACTAAATCTAAGAACTTAGTTTAAACAACATAGTGAGTGCTCTTCTGAACAAGGGACACTAAATTCTCCATCTCCTAACTGCATGATATATCCTATGCTGGCCAGTCCATAGTTAATTGCAGGGGTGTGAAGACATTCCTCCGCTGTGGTGCATATGTAAAGGCTCCTGGCAACACCCCTCATGCTGTTGTAGAATGGCACAGTCCAATTGCCCAGGCTAATCTCTTTAGGGAGGCGTGATGCAGCTGCTCGGTCTTCTGCCAGAAGGATGGTCGGCTGCAAAACACTGACAGGAAAGTTAACACTTTTATCAACCGTACCTTAATATTACTTGATGGCGTGCACTCAATCTCAAAATATAAAGTCACCCAAAACAAGTGTCTTTATGTCTTGCAGCATCATTTAAAGAATAGTGAAACAGAACCTTCCCTATGCTTGGTTGATGGTTTGGCTAGTTTGCAGCCGCCACAGAGCTGCAACTCTGTGTTGCCATCGGGATCATTTTCATCCTGCTTTAGTTACAGTACTGAATGTAATCAGAAATGTCTGTATTAATACTACATTGATTTACGAATGTAGTGTTGACGGACACAACTGTCCCACAATGCAATGCGGCAAGAAAAACGGAGAAGCTGCTCGTAGCTAGAAGGAAATAATCCAAATTACTGAGAGTGATTAGACAGCTATGGAACATCTTTATCTTGTCTTAAGGTTCCACAATATAAATTGGCTGTAGATGCTAAAGCTGCAGTTGTACCTACAGAGGGTGTAGATGGGGGCTCATGGGTTCAGAAGTAGATGGGGCATGGCTGCAGGAGAGTATCACTGACCTTATCACATCCTGGATATTAGGCATTTTATGTCCGAGTCTTGGGCAGAGAGAGCTGCTGACGATGTTGGAGGTGGTGTTGCAAACTGACCCCCATTCCACTCCTCCCATTCATGTTAGCTGAAATAGATGGAGTGTGTCTCCCTGGTGGTGATATTGATGCATGGACATCGGCTCCGTGTAGATGAGCCAATTAAAGCATGACAACCCTGATTTAACGGCCCACAACAGATCGCTCATCAGTGTGTTGTGTATCCAAGGCTCTTTGATTCATGAAACTATTGTGTCTTCTGAACAATGGAATGCCTGGCTGTACTGTGGCTAACTGTAGAGGAAATCAGAATTGTTCTAGTTCTTCACTTTTATTTCAGTGAGTCTCATGTCTGTGTGTTCAGTGCTGAGCTAGAGTCAGGACATGGTAAGCCTAGCTTAGCATAAAGACTGCGAGCAGGGGTTAACAGCTAGGTTGGCTCTGTGCAAAGTAAAATAATGAACCCACCAACACCTCTTAAGCTTCCTGATGAACATGTCTTTACAATCTGTACACATACGACATCCTCTGTCCCGGGACCCTCACATTGGAACAGGAAACACTCTCCAAAAACCCTTTAACAGAGAGAAAAAAAGAAATACACCTCAGAGAGAGCACCAGAGGAGGATCCTCTATCAGGATGGACAGAAACCCAGCAAACGGATATTGAGGTTCAGCTCTACTTTGGACAAAGCCAGGCTAGTTGTGTCCCCTGCTTACAGTCTTTATGCTGAGCTAGACTAACCATATCCAGCTCTCTACATAACACACATCAGCTTCATTTTCTCACCCAACTATCAGAAAGAAAGCACATACGAGTATTTCCCAAGAAGTTGAACTATTTCTTTATTTTAGTCCGACTCACTTAGACACCTCAGACCAGTTTACCGGACCTCTATGAAACCAGTTTAAAGTTGGTAAAAACATTTGTATCCATACACACACAATATAATATGTGATAATATCACTGCAGCTGTATGATGTTTACAATTAGTAATAGACCCCATGCTTATGACTGCACCATTCCATCAAATGGAAGTATCGCTACTTTCACATGCTTTCACTGTGCTCCTAACGTGCAGAGAGTCCCGGCCTGTCTGGTGACGCTGGGCTCTGCAGGAGAAATGGTGAAGTAGGAGTCTGAGGGTTACACAGTGCTGTAGACACACCATGAGTTTGTAATTCTGCTCTTGGCAGGTTTGAAGAGCTTAGATGGCCATGGTGAAAGTGTAATTACATGGCTTTCATTCAAATGTGGGTTAATGATGACGCTGGTCCCGCTGGTTCCACGATGGTCTCAAGTATTCACTGAGGACGGTCTGCTCAATATGGGCCACAGCAGCTTGACTTTGTGATCACTCTGCATTCTCACCAGTACCCATTTTAGTGTGTCACAAAGCCCAGACAGGATTCCAGTCACATCCTCCACGCATATAGAAGTATGGAGGCTGTGTGTATTCTGGATCACAGCAGAAACAGTGAGCGATACTTGGAGAGATGAGGATGAATGTTGCAGTGACAGGGTCCATGACTAAAAGCACTAATCTCTTTTAACAAGTGTTTCCTCCTCTGAGTTTAGCGTTTCATTTAAAATCAAGTACAACAATGTTGAGCTACTTGTAGCCTACTTCACTTAATTATTCCCATTTGAACCTACTATGTAAATCCATCCCACAACAATTCAGAGGGAAATATTTCACTTTTTATTCCTCCTCTCACTTTACTTATTTGACAGCTGTAGTCACCAATGACTTTTCAGATTAAGATTTTACATTAAAAAGATACGCGGCATCTAAAAACAATGCAGATGTAAAGCAGTGGGACTCCTGATCAAGAGCAGGGTCTAGTTTGGGTCTTAGTTTCCAGATGTCTATGGATTGTTAGCAGGTCCACTAACTTCTCACATGGTTTCATTTGAATAACTGTTGGAAGCCCAGAGAGTAGAATGATCTAAAGGATGAGTAGAATGTAGCCAAACAAACAAACTCTCCTCGGGTTCATTCCGTGACCTTAAGGTTAGGAACCACAGGAAAATAAACTAAAGTGGCTCCAACAGTAACGTGCTACTTACACAAATGCACATTGATGCATCAGTGTTAACAGTACAATAGTGTTCCCTTTGGAACGCAATATGTGCTCCGTCCTGATAAATACTGTGCTGCCGTTTACTTCTCCAAAAGTCATTTCAACAAATCCATCAGTTTAAAAGAACTCCAGTTAATGTCATGTTGGGTTAGTTTTTGAAGTTTTGTTCCTCATTTCTATCAGTTATAAAAACATTGTACTCAGCAAGTTGACAGCTGGGAACTTGCTGACGTCCCTAAAAGGAAGTAGGGGAAACAGCTCCCTCTTTCACCTCACCTTCCTTCTTCAACTTTGACCTACTGTGCTTGCTGTATTTGTGCATGTTGCTGTGTTCCTAGATTTCATTACAATATGGTGAATCCTAAAAGAAAAGAGGGCAAAAGCTTTGAAAATCAGACCCAGTGATTCTTTCAAGGCTGTTCTGCGGTAATTAAATGTTTTAAATGATAGCAAACCGCCCAAAGTTAGAAGATTGTTTTTGCTGTTGAACTGACCTCTGATCTGTTGGACTTGTTCTCTGAAGCAGAAGCTCACCACTGTGCTTCTGTGTCCCCTCATTTAAGGTGTCCCCGGACTTCTTTGAGTATTTCCGAGCCCTGTACCCGATCTTGCGCGATGACCCCACCCTGTGGTGTGCTTCTGCGTGGAACGATAACGGCAGAGACGCCTTGGTGGATCCATCCAAAGCCGGGCTCCTCTACAGAACAGACTTCTTCCCCGGTCTGGGCTGGATGCTGCTGAAGGAGATGTGGGATGAACTGGAACCCAAATGGCCCTCGGCCTTCTGGGATGACTGGATGCGCCATCCGGAGCAACGCAAAGACCGCTCCTGCATCCGACCCGAAATCTCTCGAACTATCACCTTTGGCCGGAAAGGCGTCAGTTTAGGTCAATTCTTTGACCAGTACCTTCGCTATATTAAGCTCAACACTGAATTTGTGCCTTTTACCAAACAGGATTTGTCTTATTTGCTAAAAGAGAAGTATGATGAAAAGTTTATAAAAGAGATTTACAGCACCCCTCTGGTGAAGATTGAGGACCTGCAACAAGGGGGCAGCCTAAGAGGCCCTGGACCGTACAGGGTGCAGTACTCAAGCCGGGACAGTTTTAAAGTCTTTGCTCGAAATCTGGGGGTGATGGACGACTTGAAGTCTGGAATTCCTCGTACAGGTTACAGGGGCATAGTGAACTTCCTGTACCGGGGTCGAAGGGTGTTCTTGGCTCCACCAGAGGGCTGGACGCAGTATGACGTCAGCTGGAGCTGAGAGAAGGAACAGACTACAATGTGAATGGTGTTGAAGAGGGGAGAGAGCCTTACTCAGAGGAACACCCTCTCAGACCAAAGAATATCAGCAGACACAGTGGTTCATGAAGGAACTAAAGCAGCACCGATGGGCGGGGAGGTCAAGAGTTGACCCGGGCCTGTTTGTTACGTAATGCTGATACAGGATCAGCCGGTTCAACGGCCACACATACTTCACAAAGAGTTCAAAGTTTCAGGGCAAGAAGATTCCACCTTAAACACTGCTTCAAAAAAGCTCTTGGCAACGTGCCTTGCTCTCTGGGCCCATTTAGTTTGGTGTGTTTTATCCCTGTGAATAACTGGCCAAATGCAGACGGAACATCACATTCAGATGTCTGCAGCAGCTCTAATGGAGTTGGGTAGCAGGAAACATTTAATCTGTTTCAGTGTCCATGATAAAATAATACACCAAGCTGAGGGGTCATCTCTAGAACCGGTTCATCTTTTTACTTTCAGCAAAGTTGATGAAAGCTGATAAAATTGATCCAACTCTTCAGATGATGTTACTGTTCAAGCCTATAAACTAATCGGAGGCAAAATGAGAAGCTTCTCCAATGTTTGAGAGCAAACTAAGGCTGAAGTCAGCCTGGTGGTAAACATTAAAGATTAACGACATTATTTCACCAGGATTTTAACCAATGAGATTTAAATCTCTTTTTTAAGATGGCAGCAAACAACAGACTGAAAGGAAAACAGCAGAGTTTAGACAAACATCAGAGAGAAGGAAGTGCAGAAGAAGCAGAGCCATCATCCTCCCAGATTACAGTAGCCCTGATCCAGGACCAACACACTCCTCAGACCGACCGGCAGACCAGGAATGGTGTCATCTGTTGAATTGGTACAAACCATGTAGGATTTGTTTCTCACTCTCTGGAGGGACAAAGGTAGACAGGAGACATTATAGCGGTCCTACCAGTGCACACGCTTTACATGGTCTGTGTTGCCTGTACAGGAAGAGAGCGTTGTTGGTCAAAGTAAATCTGTTGTTATTTCACTCGCTTTCAGAACACTCATCAGCTGACTTAGTATTTTTAACATTCTTTGTTTGATACATTTCATGAGCTGCTCATCAGAATCAGCCTTGTTGACCAAGTATGTGTACACATACAAGGTTTTAGTTTGCTCTCAATTTACAGGAAGCGGCATCGCTTGCACTCGACCACAACTGCTGTTTTACCATTGAGGACGAGGGGTTTTCGGAAGCTTAGGACATAATGAGAGGAAGTTGTAGTTGCCAGAAAGTAAGAAGACCAAAAACCTGAGAATGTTTTCAGTACGTAGCAGATGTATAGGAGCATGGCAGGATCAACGGTGGAGTCTTTCTTAAATTCTAGATGCTGATGTTCTTAGATCAGTTCATGGGTGACGGAGCACAACACTAAGTCAAAGCAGAGAGATGGCCTCCACATGCCTCCGACTCAGATGGTGGGACTTCATTGAAACACACAGTCAGACTGCTTTGTTAGAAGCATGCTGAGGTCTTTATGGTCCTGCTCAAGCTCGTCTTAGAAGGCCTGTTATTCTTTTTTGGTAATGTATTTAATGTTTCTGAGCTTAAACGCCATCAGTGTGATGGTTGAAGAGAATTCCCTTCTACTTTCAGAGGGTTTGTAGAAGGACATAGTAAATATGAAGGATGGACCTTTAATGTTTAAGCTATTTTGAAATGATTTCATTGTCTTGAACATGAAGTTCTAACAGGTTTGCCAAGCTGCAAATGAGGTCTAAAGTGATGACTGATTGTGAGATTTTACTGGTGATCCCCTGAAGCCCTGATACAGGGCGAGTTGTAATTACGTGACATGCAAACCATGTTTGGTCGTCTTAGGTTTGTTAAAGAACCACTGATTGTTCGACACGTCTGGTTGCTGCAACAAGAAGGCTGTGCAGTGGCTGGAGAGTGATTATCACTGTACTGTAATTAGCTTTGGGAGATTATCCACAGGGTCGAATGATTCTCATGTCTGTATGGTGATGTGTAAAACCACTGCCTGATGTGTTTATAACTTTACTACTATATAAATAAAATCAACTATTTTAATATTTGCCCACATGCTGAAGCAGTTACTCTTTGATTGACAGCGCTCATTCAGCTGTGTGATCCTCAGTCCTGAACCGAGGCTCCTGCCATTGTGAACAATAATATTAATAATAACTTGCAATTTACAGGGAGTTTGGATCACAAGTAAAAAATAAAAGTTTAGTCCAAATATGTCTGATGCTGGCTGTGGTCAGAGGTGAGACGGGCCTGAAAGTTCCAACCAGGGAGGACGTGGAACATTGTTCAGCCTGCCAACACTTTCACCATTTACCACTTTCACCATTTACCATTTCTACAGCTGTGCCGTCTCTCAAATGAATTCTCCCATGGTGTGGTGTCGTGTTTGTAAAATGAAACTGTTCCAGAAAGCAGCGAGCCATTCTGTGCAGACTCTCAAAAGTACATGGTATGACGCACTTACACACTCAATTTTGAATCGATCATTACAGATCAAATCATGATTTTTTTTTTTTTTTTCCCCCACATTCAATTCCTGGTTTGAATTTCAAAAAAGAAACTACAGCAGTCAGAGGAACTGCTGTACCAGGCTAGCTCAGAGTACTGCTGCTGGAGTATGTAGGCTACGGACCACAAAGGCTCACAGGTCTGCAGTGAAAAGTTAGGTTCTGTAGTTCATGTGAACAGGTTGGAATATTACTTGCTTTTTCCAAAGCTTTAAACTGTGGATCCTGTCTTTTAGCTCCGTTTCAGGATTCCTGATTTCATCCTCCTCAGTCATGGCTAGCTAGCTACATCCATGAAAAATGGCAACCAAAAATGGCCACAAGAATGTATGAGATTGCAGCTGTAGGTTGTTGGACGTGGACTTACAGAAATAACAGCTGTTGCATTTGTCTTGAAAAATGCAACGGATCCTAGGAACCCCAACAGTCTCTTCTTTGTCCCGAATGCAAACTAGTCTGGAACCCATGGGGTCAGATCAGCCTCGATGTCAAGAAGGATTCACAAATGTATTTTGTGATTTACAAACAAAAATAGTAATCATTATATACAAGTGTAAATAAAATCCATATATACAAAAATGTGATTCATAAATTGTGCACACAGCTCTTATTTTAAATACATGTTTCATCAAATAAGTGGATGTTGTTACATTCATATACTAACTTTTGAACTTGCATTTACAAACTGCTTATCAGGTGTGAACTTCTCTGCATTTTGTTATTTCTTATATACCAGGGGTGTCCAAACTTTTTTCAAAGAGGGCCAGATTTGATAATGTGAAAATGCCCAAGGGCCAACAGTCCCTGCTGACATTATTTTAAACAATACAAGTAGCCTTGTAGATAAAACAGGGATGAATTTATATCATTGTATAAAGAGAGTGACATGAGAAGATCAATCTCATGTCTGTAAGTTAAATCAGCTATAATCACTATTTTATCCTATTTTCATTCCTGCATAATTTGCCTAAAACACCCATCAACCACGTACCCAAAGTAAACTGACAGCTCTTATTGAACCATTGGGAGTACGTGTATGGTTTTAGTCTTTATTGAACGGCAACACTCTGAAGTTTCTTCACAATCAGTCAGAATCACTGTAAGTGCTACTAGCATTGAGCTAATGCGTTTTCAGCACAGTGAAAGAGAAGCATTTTACTTCCGCCTAGATTTGTTTTGGCCAACAGATGGCAGCAGCTATCTATGGCTGGGACTTACAGTCTTGAAAAGACTCATTCGACAGCTAACAGTCATGACACCAAGGACAATTAAAATATGATAACAATATGACAGAAAATTAATATTTTACACATGGTTTACTAAGACTGCAGCCGAGCAAAAACGCATTTGGAGCAAAAACGCATTTGGAGGCCCGCGTCACCAGTCAAAATGTATATACTACGAAAAACTACTTGTTCGAAATTCGAACTATAGTTTATTTATGTTGATGTATGGTTAACTATATCATATTTAACCATTATTAATTTTCCAAGAATCTTGAAAATTGTCATGAACCAGACTTTAGTCTTCACACTCTGTCCCAGGAACTTGACTCATGGTTTCCAGTTCAGGTTAGAAAACTTTCCCAGCATTCAATCTGATAAATCTGCATATCCTTGGCTTCGTAATTTCATTGGCTATGTGGAGCCTGAGTTTGAACAGGATCTGTTGCGATTGGCTCGAGCTATACCCAAAGAAGAGAGGCATTGTCTTTCAAAGCGGACTCTCGTTGGCTGTTCCAGACTGTGGCCGGGCTATAGAAGCTCCTATTGGGTCAAATGAGGTGTCAATCTAACCGGCGGAATGCAGCATCCATTTTGCGATGAAAATCTTCGCTCTGTTGACACAGAACGTGAAGTTATGCCCGAAATATGATCGCGAGTTATCATATCTGCTGGCTAATTTGAAATGATGCAACAGCCCCCCGTGGGTCTTTATGGACGTACTAATGTGTTTTGGACTAAATCTTTTACTGGATTCGATCGAGTGGACCCTTAGCCACCTAGCAAGACCGTTTTTGCTGGACTAGCATGCACAAGGGGGACGTTATGGATCATAATCGGTGAGTCACGGCGATATTTTATCGGCTATTTTTGGAGTGCTTGTTTGACAGAGACGTTAACTGTACCTGCTGTTATTGTATCTTGAAATGGTTTGCAGAAATCGAATTACAAGAACCGTAGCTTTCTAATGAGATATCACATTAATACTCATCGTTACAGGGCAGTTGTGTGCATAACACAAATATGCAGTTACGCGGGCGGGCCGTCAGAGAGAGGTTAAAGTGATTAGTGACTCGTTTAAAACATTTAAAAAAAGAATAACTTCAATAGAATCATTCTATACACTGTAGCTTCTTTACATTCTATTCGAATGTCAAGAAGCTATATTCTGATACAATGTAGCTTCTTTACATTCTAATACAATGTAACTTCTTTACATTCTATTAGAATGTAAAGAAGCTACATTCTGATACAATGTAACTTCTTTACATTCTATTCGAATGTAAAGAAGTTACATTCTGATACAATGTAACTTCTTTACATTCTATTCGAATGTAAAGAAGCTACATTCTGATACAATGTAACTTCTTTACATTCTATTCGAATGTAAAGAAGCTACATTCTGATACAATGTAACTTCTTTACATTCTATTAGAATGTAAAGAAGCTACATTCTGATACAATGTAACTTCTTTACATTCTATTAGAATGTAAAGAAGTTACATTGTTGCGTTTTCTTTCTTTTCTTCCCACAAGAACGTAATTTTGTCAGGTTGATTAAAAAAATGTCACTTTACTTCCTGACATTGTTGTTTTACCACAGGGGTGTCCAAACTTCTTTCAAAGAGGGCCAGATTTGATAATGTGAAAATGCCCAAGGGCCAACAGTCCCTGCTGACATTATTTTAAACAATACAAGTAGCCTATACATACATTGTTATTTAATCATTTTATTTTCAATGACAGCAAATAGCAATGTAACCAAATGTAAGCATTCATGTGTGAACACATCTCAACAACTATTCTGCCTTTCTTTCACATCTTGAAAGTCAGATAACACAAAGAACAAGCCATCTAAAAGCTAATTACATAGAAACCGATCAATGTTCTCACCTCAAGACAATCTTAAATATGACTTGGTGAGGGTAATGAAAAGTTGTCTCACATTTAAGTTCAACACACATGAAACAGGCTAACGAAATAAATCAAGTTGTCTCTTAGTATCTGATGATAGCTCTTCAGTGTTCGGTCTTCTTCTCGGGGCAATTATGTTTTCTGCTATTTTCATAACAGTCTTTGATAAACTCACCTTCCGTAAAAGGTTTGTCATGTTTAGCAGTTAGCATGGCCACTTGGTAGCTTACTTTGATGATGTTTTCATGTGAAAAGGACCGCTGCTGTGTGGCCAAGTTATCTTGGAGTTGCTTCACTTTTCTAGCACGGTCGCTCTCATAGCTTGTTGTAGCATTAGCATGTTTGGTCTCGTAGTGTCTCTTTACATTATATTCCTTAAACTAGGCAACAGTCTCATGACTAATTAGGCAGACACAGTTGTTTCGGTTTTCGGTGAAAAAAATATTGCGATCTCCACCTCTCCTGGAAGCCGCAGCCCTCATTATCGACTTTCCTTTTTTTACTTGCCGTAACATGACAGGTCAAGGGTCAGAGCCCATTTCAAACAGCCAGACAGTTACAGAGAGGTGCTGCCACCATGAGGTAAAAAGAGGAATTGCATGTTGAATTTGTATGATTTATTCATTCCGTTTTGACTGTGCTGGCAGGCCATAAATAATGCATTTTAAGACAGAAGGTGCGGGCCATATAAAATCTGACCTCGAGCCGTGATTGGCCCGCGGGCGGACTTTGGACATGCCTGTTATATACAGTCAATGATCTTTGTCAACAGGGAATTATCTCTCCTCCATTTTCAGCCAATCACGTGAGCGCGCCCTCACGAGGTTACACCATGGCTTCCACACTGCTCAGGGCTCCACTTCTGACACGTGTCATTGAAAGAGCGGGGGTTGGTTCTAGTTCATTCTCTAACCAGACACATTAGAACATTGTTTAATAGATGTAGTTGCTTTGATCACCTCATGATAACACTCATGTTGCACCATCTGCCAGGTGGAATCATTTGAATTCTCTAGATCACTATAGGTTGAAATTGGTTCTTGTAATATGGACAGCCATACATGGTGTAAGGAGAATAAATGGAAGAGGACAACCTGTCTTTTCTCACGACTAGTATCAAATGTAGGAGTTGTACCATGTGCTAACGTAGCTGAGCTGTTTAGACAGCATGGATATTGAGATTCTGAATCAGAGGCGTAGGTGACCTGGAACGTGCCTGTTGGCACTAGAGCACCCAATGACTTCCCAGAATGCGACGGTGAGGAGCTGAAGGACCCGCAATGTGAGACTGCACAAGCCAAACTCACCGCAACATTATCGACGTGAACGTTTGGTCTTTTCGCGGGAAACTGCGTGTTATTTGTGGGTAACAACGACATTTATTCATGAAAGCGGTGAGTAAAGTCATCTACATTATATAAGTGATGATGTGGCTAAAGTTAATATCACGTTAGCTTTAGCTAAAGGTTGCAGATTTGCTCCAGTTCCTGCCACGTGCTAAAGTGACGCGCTCTCTTCAATGTTGTGCTTTAAATTCTTAACAATGTGAGTATATGTATAATGTAATGTTATTCTGAAGGTGAGCCTTAATATCTTCTGGACTTTTAAAAAGCGTGACACAACCCGTGAATAGAATCCCTCCACGCGCAGTACTGTAAACATATGAATCCACATATATTTAAAACAAAAAGACTAACTAGTCAACAACTTAATTTATTTAAAAGTTTCAATTGTGGCCAATATTGCAATTGTGTCTCGCGGACTGTTAACTAAAGAACGCTGCTGTTCTTCAGAGATGTCGTGTTTTGCTGGTGACCCCAACTTCTGCTCAGAGTGTGGGAGCGTGCTGCCTCTTCCTGGGATACAGGACACGGTCCTCTGCCCGCGCTGCTCCTTCTGCCTCCCGGTAGCAGGTACCAGCTCTCTGTGTGTTACTGTCCATCTCTACCCCGTAGAGAGCTCTTCAGCACGGGAGCCACGTAGAAGCCTCCATAGTCCACTCGGACAGTCCCACCTACATGCTTGTATGCAGATGGTTTGGTTTGTCCAGGTGTTGGATTCCGTCCTCCACAGTGGAGATGAATGTTGTTTGGTTTGTGGTGTCCTCAGCTAATGTTTTAAAAGATTGAACAGAAAAGTGCCTTTTAGAAACGATGACACTGTTGCACTAAATAATCCACACACTTCCCTGTGAACAGCTGTGAAAATAAAGAGCCATATTCAAGCTGTTGTTCTCGTACAGTCTTCCTTGTTGAGGGCACAGATTTGCGTTACATGCATGTCTTTGATCACCAGAGTTCTCAGGCCAGGAGATCCGCTCCACTGTCGTATTCAACCCAGAGGAGCAGTCGTCGGTGGCTCTGAAGGATGAGGAGGGCTCAGAACTGAAGGGCGCTGTGGTAAGAACAGGTGCTCACTGCCTGCTGTGTGTGACCATCACTACTGTACTCTGTATTCATGAGGTACCTGCTCCCTATAGATTGACAGGCGCTGCTCTCGTTGCAATAAAGAGGGGATGGTTTACCACACCAGGCAGATGAGATCTGCAGATGAAGGACAGACTGTCTTCTTCACCTGTATACACTGCAGGTAATCAATACTGTGGCAGTTAATTTGAACATTTGGTGCTGCTGTGTGATTGTTTGCTGATCATTTTGTTTTGGGTGTTACAGGTATCAAGAGAAGGAAGACTCCTGAGTAGAAGTCCAGCTCTCCCTCTCCATGTTTCTACCAGCGTTGGTGTCAGAAGTTCGGGTTCTTTTCCAACTCATGGCCCTTCACCTTTGGTTTATCTGAAGACGCTGTGCACTTCCTGTTCTTGAGTTATTAGCATTCACACCTTGAATAACGTTTGACAACATAATCTTAACGCAGGGTCGACATGCTGAGTGGACATGTAGTTGGTGAGAGCTGAGTGAGCGACCCAGCAGACCAAGAGGAGCTCAAAGAGAATGTGTAGCATTTGTTCTGGGCACTAGATGGCCTCCCAGTGACACACAGCACTGTTCTCTGCTAAGCCAGGCCACAGATGTTGAGAGAAGATGCCTGATGTAGAGCATGTCAAATCTAAACCCGTCATCAACTTTTTAAGATCCATATATTTCAATTTCTACGTAATTTTGCCTCTTAAGCTTTCATCCTAATCAGTGTTTCCTGAATAAAGTGTGTGATGGATGAATGACATGATTATTGAGTGAGCTAGTCTTCATAAACTCTGTTGTCTTTAATGTATTGGCTGAAATAAAGATCCAATGGGCATAAAACACATGAAGCATTAATTCATTACACTACTGTGCTCATGAACTACACGGGTGTTTTCACAGTTTATCAGTGTGCACCAATTTATACATTAGTTGAGTCTGCACTGTGTTCAGGTGCTGAGCTATAATTCTGTGACCTCCATAGATTTAATGCATTGTATAATTCATGATATTTCATATGTGCCTGAAAGCTCAGAACATTTCCAGTGAGTGACGGGTGGTTAAATGTGGATCTGTTGAATCATGATGGTCCTCTATAACATGTGAAGAACCCCAAAGATGATGCTTTTACAGTTAAGATCAGTTCATTTCTGGAGAAGAAACACCAACTCAGTTCAACTGAGGAGAGCAATGCAGTGAACCGCTGTCTGTTTCTGACAGTTCACAGCTGAACTTATTTCATTTAATGGCCAAATGGCTTAAGTTTTACAATGATGTCGGTTAGCCAAAAAACAACATTCCTCTGCATTGTCTGGACTGCTAACCCAGAGAACTCTGGGAAAAGGCGTGTACGGGACCAACCCGTGCTCATTAGCAAGGCATCAAGTAACTTGGGTGTGAGAATAAGCTGCAAGAGTTACCGGCCACATGCTTCAGCTGTGTGTGTGTGTGTTAGTGGCAACAGTGAGATACAGTAAAGCAGCACAGTCATCAGAGAGGTGCAGTCAGTGACTTAGAACGAGTCCGGCTCTTTTACATATGTGCATATGTAACGTACAAATGTTACATGTAACGTATGTTACGTACATATGTTACATGTAACGTATGTTACGTGTACATATACAAGTTTCACTGTTTCAAACAATGTGTGTATGGACTTTGTTCCAGGTGTGCTGAATGATGCCGGTGGAAGTTACTACCAAGCCCCCAGGAAGTGTCCAAATCATGTAATTACAACTTCCGGGTCCCTTACTCGGTGCCATGGGGCCCAAAACAACTTCCATTGGGAAAGGGACATTTGTAGATCAGCAAATAATTTCTTTGAGGGAAATAAACTTTCCAGTACGAACACTTGGACAGTCTTTATTTCAATCTTGATGTCCTAAAAGTTGTCAAATTAGATTTTAGCCTAATCCAGAGTTATTTTCCTCGACATAATGGACTCCCGAGCATGTGAGCGAGCCAAAACAGATTCAACAACTACAAATCAAACAAACAAGCGTGTTTCTGAAATACATTTCAAGTTGTGATGGTCATTTTGAATAATATATGCATGATGAATATATGCATTGTGCTTTTAAAACTCGACACAACATACCTACAACAGATATTACGAAGACTAGGTTCTCAGATACTGCGAATTGCTTCTGACAACATCACTGAATTCACCTGAACAGTACAACATGATGTTGTATATGGTATTATTGTAAATCTTCACCACAAAACACTGAGGTAGACGTCACTTGTTCTGTGTTATCATGTTTGGTTCAGGAGATATGATGCAACATACATCATTTGGTTATGGCGGAAATAAAACTTTTTTGTGATGGCTCAATTTCTGAAAATGTTCAGGGCCCCACACTTCACCAGTATACCAAGTCTGATGCTTTTATAATGCTTAACACATCACCTGGACTATAACCCATTGCTACTGGAGCCTCATCAGTTGTAACATGTTGACAACGGGATAAGAGTAGGGAAATATAAAATAATGGATAGACCTGGTAGAGAATTCATTTCTTCGGAAAGTGTTTGTATGACTTTGCTTCTGCTGCTGAGAAAGCTATTTACAAACTGCCCATTAACAGAATCCAGTGCAAGGTTCTGAAGATTCTATCAGAAACAAACTGCACAGTTTGTTCTGATGAGAAAAGTTGTTATTGTTGTAAAGCTCCTTTGTGCTCTTTATGGTGGAATTATCCGTAGGCACAGCAGATCAGTATGAAGTTAGATCTATGGGTAATTGCAGAGGCATTCAGAATTTGCCCTAATGCTGCATATTGAGTTAGAGGTCAAATGTCAAATTTTGTTGTCCTTGGTGTAAAGAAAGTGCAACTGGTAGATAGATAATAATCTAAACTTTACAATCATATGACTTCATGATATTCTGTGGAATTAACCCTCTTTTATACTGACTTTACATGTAAAATAGTGAAAGAATATGGAAACATTGTAATGATGGAGGGATGCAAAAAGGAGTGATAATACATAGACAGCTACCACTGCTGCAATGCTATCATGCATCTTCAAGACATAGACCTTAAAACAATTCACTAGGAGACATGGTACCTCCACATTGGCACAAAGGACAAATGTTAGGGGTCTGACTCACAGACTGTATTACACATCACAAATTCACATTCAAATTTAGAAGCGTCTTATTATCCTGTGTAGCTGTGTGTGTGTGTGTGTGTGTGTGTGTGTGTGTGTGTGTACTGTTATTTTTAATAGTTTGAGTTCTATGGATATAATATAGTGATTGAGTCTGAATGGTCAAACTGAAAGACGTTTTTACTTTTCTTTATTCTGGGTTCATGAATCCTTCATTCTCAGTCCAGCAGGTGGCGGTACTGCGCCCTTTAAGTTGTTCCACCATTAGCATTGAAGATAGCTGAAGAAGAACACGGCCAATGAGGACGCTGGTATTATGTCCACGTGACCTGAAAACATGGCCCCACAACGAAAGAGAAGTGCCGTATGACAGCAATGCAGTTATTTTGTACTTTAAAATAAATGTGCTGTCAGGAATTCGTCGGTATTTTATTTCCGTCTTCACGGTAAATAATGCATTTGACATACATGTGCTTCTAAGCTCATTTCCAGACTTCTGTCCGCTGAAACGTTAGTTGTTCGGTTGTGTCTGTTTTGAATGTAACACATCATTTCAGATTAAGCTGTTAACACACTGCCTCACTAAATTCAAGTTACCTATCACATACGTGTGCTGAATTAAAGGGTGGTCCAACCCAGTCATACGTTATTATATCACTATGTACTTTGAGATATGACCAAAGCCACAATACATTGTAATGAACGACGTAATCAGGAGGACTGAGTCCGGCTGTTGTCGGTGACTATGCCCTGATGCTATTCTTCTTTATCTCGGTAGATAATGAAGCTACGTGTCCAGCTGCAGTGTAAGAATTTGCATGAATACCTGAGAGAGCTGAGCCCTGATATTTTGGACCGACTCTACAACCATCCAGCAACATGTCTGGCTGTCTACAGGTATGATGCTCACGCTGTTTACACAGACATATGGTTCCCAGGACCATTTTATATTGTGTCTGATCTTCTACAGGGAACTCCCCTCTCTGGCCAAGAATTATGTGATGCGTATGCTGTTCCTGGATCAGCCTCTCCCACAAGCAGCTCTGGCATTGTGGGTGAAAGTAGACAGTCAGAAGTAAGTCACTCACCTTGTGTCTTCATTACACCTCTAGCAGCATTGTAAGTGTGGAGATTCCGCTCTTTGTAATATTTCCCCCACTGACCTGTTACTGGGGAGTTTTATTTATGATGACTTGTTTTTAGGGATTAGTGGCGTGCTCCTTGAGGGTTGTAGAGAACCACTCATTGCTCGTTACTCCAGGGAAGTGAAGAAGAGTTGGTTGTAACTTTAGTATATCCAGCAGCAAAAGTGAAGTGCAGTCCACAGAGCCCTGAAACCCTGCTGCTGCTGCTGCATTGTTTGCTTGTTTATTCAAAGCTTATTAATATTTAACCAGTCACCAAGTAAAAAATAGAAATTAGATCCAATGAACGCTTTTTGAGATATGCTAAAGACACAAGCACCTAGACAGAGACTCCTTGCTGTGTAGTTAATGCTGCTACAGCGCCATCTATTGGCCAAATAGCACCACAATTGTTAAGGTCACTCATATCTACATATGTCAACCAAATTAAATCAAATGGTTCAATCCCCAGCTCCACTAGTCCAACCGATACCGAGCACCGATCACACACCAGTGTTTAATCACTAAGCTGTAAGCCTCATTGTGTGGAAGAGAATGGGATCATTATTTGATGGTAAATCTACAAGAATGGATGTACTTGTATTTCTCTTTTCTGGTCTTCTGACCACTCAAAGCTTTAACGCTACATGTCATCATTCATACACTGATGACAGGGGACCATGTACGGTACCACCTGCTCATCAGGACTGACTAACATTTATACAACAGTCACACACCATAGGTTCAGCTCCCTGAAGGAAACATCATGACACCAACTCTTTGCCACTTCCTGCAGCATGTTCAGTGGCCCTGTGGGGACAATAAGTAAAAGCTATGAGAAAACTAACCGTGGTTAAAGACAGGTGGAAAAATATGAGACCCAACATTTTCAATTTAGTGTATTCCAACTCACAGCCTCAGAGATGAAACCGTCTCAACAAATCATCATCATCAGCAGGTCCATTCGTCTGTTCTGGAGCCTTCAGTTGTGAGACACTATCTTCTTCAGCAGATGGAATTTGCCTAGTTTTTCTTTTCATATCAATCTCAAATGTGCGTTATGATTGCGGGCTCCCTTCCCTCGCTGCTGGGGGGGGACTTTGTGGTGAGATGGTTTTATTGATTTCAGGTAACTTTATACAGTATTTGGGTCACGCACACTGGAAAGCATGGAATTCATTTGTTCACATGTTTATGATTTTTAAAAAAGAATCTCTATCTAAAGAGAAATGGCCTGCTCCTATTTCCACTCATTACAGATATGTCAATATCCTGCAAAAAAACTAAAGAGGAGTTCCAATAGGCTAGCTGATATCTGATATTGGTTTTGACTTTCACGTTAGTTTTCTACAAAGCTCTGTAATGAATGCTGTGTCAGCTGTTGTTTCCAGACAGTCTCCTGCAGGGTTAGGCAGCAGAAGCTGTCATTCCCCCAATAATAGGGACCTGAATGAGGGATGAACCGATCCAGCTTCTCTCTTTGAGTGTCCTCAGATACAGAGAACAGATGTGATATCTCTGCTTGCCTCACTGTGGGGGTGATTTTATGTCAGGTCATCTGAAGCCAGGGAGTTCTGTGGGACTGAAAACTGAGTCGGCCGCCTGCTGTGA